GCCCAGCTCCCCTGGTGGAATCTTGAATAGCATAAGCCATAACCATGCCAGGATCCCAGCTGTGGCAGGCTGTGTGGCTGTTGGGACTATTTGCTTTCCCTTCCTGGAGTGGATTAGACCTCCCCGCCCCTCTGATATCATGATTGATGTCTATTTGACTGATAGTCTTTAATCTCCTTGTCCTGTCAAACTGCAGGAGAACCAGGTGACTTGCTTTGACCAACAAAACATGGGTTGGAATGTGCGTGTCATTTCTTTCTTTTTTTTTTTTTTTTAGTTGTAGATGGACACAATACCTTTGTCTTATTTATTTTTATGTGGTGCTGAGGATCAAACCCAGTGCCTCACATGTGCTAGGCAAGTGTTTTAGGCAACCACTGAGTCACAACCCTAGTCACAACCCTAGTCCTGCATGTTGTTTCTTGAGAGCAGCCTTGAGAACCATGGGATGGTTTTGTCACCTGCCATTTTCTACTGCCGTGAGATTGACAAATATCCCAGACAGAAGCTGCTCCAACAGCCTGGGTCCCAGAGTGAAGTATGGAGGAGAGGGTAGGCATTGAGATGGGCAAGCAGCAGGAGTGAGAAGTAAACTTTTGTAGTTGTAAGCCACTGAGTTTTTAGGCCTACTTGTTACCGCAGCATAACCTGACATCTCCTGACTGACATACTAACCCTCACTGGCTTCCATTTGTTTCAAAATCAAGTATTAGTTGCCATCAAGAAAATCAATGCCCCCTCCCCACCCACCATGACTTCAGAGAGAACTCTGGGCCCCTCAACTGCCACCACCCTGATCCCATTGGCAAGATCCACAGCCACGATCCAGGCCTAACATTTCCAGCCTCCTCCTCCCTTCCTCGCACCTTGTGGGGAGAAAGGGTGACCCATTCCTGGCTCTACTTTCAACACTTTGCCCCCAAACCTTGGCCTTTGGGGGATGGCTGCAGCTTCCCCCAGGTCCCTGTGAATGGCCAGACTTCCGAGAGAAGCCTGTGCCTCCCTTTAACTTCCCGGGAGTCCCACTTTCATACTGCCTGGCCTGTGGATTGAGGCACTGTGAAGTGCCCCTGCAGTGGGTGTCACTGAAGATCATCCTCAGCCCCTGTTTCCCCTCCTCTGCCTTTTCTTGCTTCCCAAGGAGCCTGCTGGTTCACCTGGCACTCCGCTCCGGCTGGGTTTGTATTAATGTCTGGGCTCATGTCTGGGCCTCAGCTGCATGGAGGCGGCCCAGACAAAGGCAGTTCAGCACGGCTTCCCAGCTTCTGCGGGTGTAGCACCACAGGGCCCTGCCCACTGTGCTCTCCAGCCTCCCCACCAAGCCTCCATCAGCAGTGAGGGACTGCAGCAGCCTTAACCAGCCCTCTCCTCCCCCCATGGTGCTACCATGACTCTAGAGACACAGCAGCCACCGCCCCAGCGCACAGTACAGGGGAGATCCCCTCTTCCTTGTGGGCAGGCATTCAAATGGCTGAACTGTCAAGTGTCATGGGGGAGCCACCAGTAACAGGCACCACTGAATTGCAGGAGTTCACTTCCTGATTGATATATTGCTTTCTGGTAAAGGTGAGAAAGGCCCGGAGTGTGAAGGTCAGGAAGAGGAAGAGAGGTGCAGAGGGCACCTGGGGGTAGAGCAGCTCAGGCAGAGGCCCAGAGGAGGTGAACCCGGTGGTGGGGCAGCTAGGGGCCCTGTTGGTGGGAGCAGGAAGGAAGGTGTGAGCAGAGGGGAATGGAGCAGAGGGGGGACCACAGTCTTTGTCCCAGGGAGCCTGTGTTTCAACAAGGACCCGTCATAGTGTGGCTCCAGTATCACGTTGAGCATTTTATGGTGTCTGATTGTTTAAAAAGGGGGAAAAAAATAGAGCAGAAACTCCCCAACTTTCCAGTTGTTCTCAGCGTCTTGGTTCATGCTTGACTACGTGGCTCTGGTGGTTTCCATGGAAACTGCTCTGGAAAACAAAACGACTTTTTGAAAACAAATACAGATTCTCCTTGACTATTGGTAGGGTTACTTCCTTGTTTGAACCCAGGGTATTTTGGTACCAGGGATTGAACTCAGGGGCACTCCACCACGGAGCCACACCCCCAGCCCTATTTTGTATTTAGAGATAGGGTCTTTCTGAGCTGCTTAATGCCTTGATTTTGCTGAGGCTGGCTTTGAACTAGTGACCCTCCTGCCTCAGCCTCCCGAGTCACTGGGATTACAGGTGTGCGCCACTGTGCCTGACTGGAAATTGAAAATATCTTAATGTCAAAAGTGCATTTAATTCACCTCACTTACCAAACATCACACCTTAGCCTGGCCTACCTCCGATGTGCTCAGAACACTTAGGTTGGCTTATGTGGGGCAAAAGCATCTCGCTTGAAGCCTACCTTATACCAGAGAGTCGAATTTCTCAGGTACTTTATTGAATACTGTGGAATACAGGTGGCTGTAGGGTCAAGGACCATCTGTCTTAACACTGGGCAAATGGACTCTGAGAATAGTCTTGTGTCCTGGGCCACAGCAATGGTGTCATTGTGTGGCTGTGGGCACCACTTCACTTGGATGCTCTTTTTACTCCTTTGGGTACATCCCCAATTGAACCACACGCCCTCTGAAGCCAGGGCAGATAACATTCTCCAATTTTATTACCATGAGGCCTGTGACAAGTGCCAGCCAGAGTTGGGTGCTGAGTGTTCACAACCCCTGTCCTCCCAGTGACTGGATCTAGACAAGGTCTCCCAGGAGTCAGGACAGCACAGCCCCTGGAGGACCTCCCAGTGGGCCTGGCCCCTCCAGCTGCCTTTGCAACCCTTTTGCCCCCTCTGAGCCCTGGGCCTGCTGGGAAGCAAGGGATTTCAGGCTTCCTCTCTGCACAGCCTCATCCCAAGGTCTTAGGGATGGTCCCACCCCCAGCCCCCTTCATTTCACCTCGAGCAGAGGGACTGCTAACTGTGTCCCCTTTAGGTACTGAAGCCAAGGTCACCTGGATGTGGGGCTGCAGCCCCAGAGCCCAGCTGAGGTGGGGTGCAGAGAGGGGGACAGCAGGGGTGAGAGGGTCCACGTCCTCCCTTGGCAGGTGGGGCTGACGCTAAGGGGTGGCTGCAAGCTTCCCCAGACTCGAGCGATCAAAGCCGCAGTGAGGTGTACCTGACTGGGGAGGGGGAGGGGGAGGGAGGAAAGCCGCGTCCTTGGACTGAAAGGCTGGCGTGGGCTTGGCCGGCTGGGGCGGGCCCTTGGTAGCTCTCCCTGCCTGACCCCTGGAGCTTGTCTCAGCCCCTCTTCTCCCTTCTCTTTGCACAGCGCTGAGGTCCCGGATTAGGGAGAAGGGGTGGGGAAGGCTGGGCTGTGCAAAGGTGACACGCTGGCCCTCACGCCCAGCAGGGCAGGTAATCACGACTTTCAGTTGCAGCCGCGGGCCGGGCTCTGCTGTGCAGGCCCTGGCTGTGTCCCTGCTGCCACCCCAGTCCTGGCACCTGCTCTGCTCCCAGGCTCCTCTGCCCACCCGTCCATGCTGCTGCTCGGGCTCCTCGGCCTCCTCTGGATGCTCAGGGCCTCCTCAGGGGCCACAGGTGAGAGGGACGGCGAGCAGGAAGGGAGCTGCTGTTCCGGGGCTCAGTGGGGGTGGCTCTGAGGCTCACACTGGAGGGCCGAGGAGGGGTCGCTGTGGTCCCCCCCGGGTGCACAGGAGGGCGGCTGAGCTGCTGTGCTCTTGACCAGCGGCTGAGTAGGCTGTAGGACTGGGCACTCTCGTATCAGCATTTGGAGGGTGGGAGTGCACCTTCTAGAACCTTCCAGGGACAGTGTTCCTCTGACTTGGTCCCCTTCATGCCCACTGCTGCTGTCTACCCCAGCCTTGGTCTTCCTCCCACCCTGGACCTCCGGGACGGCACCCTCTGCAGTCCTAGCCATTCTCTGTCCCTGGCTCCTCTTTCCCTCTCTTGGGCTTTCTGCCTTTGGTTTCCCTACTTCTCTCCCCAGTTCTGCCCCTCATGTCCCTATCCCAGCCAGGTCATAGCTGTTGTCACCAGGGCTGGGGTCGATAAAGTCCCCTTTGTTTCACCCAGAGGGTGGCTCTGAGACCACCCACCCTAGGCCACCCAGGTTTGTGCCTCTCATTCCTTTTCAAGGCCACATTCTGGCTGTAAGAGGCCCAGGCTTGCTTTCCTCATGATTCCTCCACCCCACCTCCCTGACATCCCCAACCAGCCTGAGAAGTGACACCCAGCCCTTAGGAGGAAGCACCATGGGTCCCCATCTGAGAAGGACTGCGGCTGAGTGGCAGGAGGGGGATACTTCCTGCCTGTCTCCCCGACCCCTCGCCCCCAGCCCAGCCGACCGCTGATCCTCAGTGTTACCATGTATAAAATGGGTTGGTGATCTCTAAAGAACAAGGGGGTGCACTAGTTAACCCAGTGGCTGGAACAGAACTGGCTGTAAGAAAATGTCCATTTAAAAAAAATTAACTGCAAGGACTTAGGTCTTCAGAACTCCTGTCCGACGGCTCCTGTTTCCTCTTTTTTGGGGAGTTTGTTCCTTTTCTGTGCTCCTTGACGTATCAGTTCCTCAGTCTCAGCACAGTCTGAGCTGCAATCTCTTTTCCCCCTTGGGGGTCCTCTTTGCACATCTCCCTCTCTGATCCCTGACTTCTGATTTCTGTGACATGCCCCCTCGCCCAGCACAGCCTTGAAAGTTGTCTCTCCTTCTCTGGAAGGGAGTCAGCCCTGGTGTGGGGGAGGAGGGGCTGGAGGACTCCGGGCAGCAGATGGACAAGGGGAAGAAGGAGGGGAAGGGAAGGGCCCCGGGGTGTGGAGGAGGGAGGAGGAGTGAACTGGGGTGCTCAGCACCGCCTGGCAAGGGGCTGAGGGTGTCCTCTGCTGTGCGGGGGCAGACCTCTAGATGGTGGGCTTCAGGACCCCAAAGCCCCCAGCTCCAAACTGCCCCTGACAGGGAAGGAGCTGGGATATGTGTCAGGAAGCTGAGAGAGTGACTAACTTATGTGGTGTGACGAGGACAAATGACCTACAGATTCACTCATGGCTTCTGTTCCTCTACCGCCAACACAGGGGCTTTCTCCACGGCCACATCCACCTCTGCTGCAGCCCACCCTGCCCCGCGCTCCAGGGGTGCAGCATGGGGGCCCCTGGGTGCTCCCCACACAGCTCCTCCCACGCCTGGCCACAGAGGAAAGACACCTAGGCCTCCCACGTCCATTCACCTCAAACCTGGTTCTGAAATAGGGCCCAAATCCCCAGTCAATGCCAACCCCTCCACCACCTCTGGGGCCACGTTCGCCATCAGGGTTGAAACCACGCCCCCTACAGTCTTTGTCTACAAGTCTACCACTGAGTGTATAAATCCCAGGACCCTTGTCTTTACCGCCACCTACCCCACCACCACCTGTGTGACCATGATCACAGTGCCCCTCACTGGTTCATACACTACCACTCCCGTGACACAGAAGCCAGTGACAACCATCACCAGTACTTACCCTGTCACCACTACCCAGAAGGTGACCTCAGCCATGACCTCTTCCCCCACCTCTACCACTATGGGGGACACCTCCATGATAATGGCCATACCCTTCTTCTCTTCTTCAACCTCAGATACCACCAGGGACTCTGTGACCTCCTCTACAAAGGGGACCACAGGATGGACTACCCTGACCCCATCAGGTGTCCATGCAACCAAGTTTCCAACCCCAGGAATGACTTCTCTGACTGCTACTGTCCCTTCTCTAATGCCCCAAAAAACCTTCCTAACAATAGTCACTGGTAACACCTCATCACCCACCACCAGGGGTAGCTTGGTCACAACACCATTTCCTAACACCAGCAGCACATTTGAAACAAAAACTGCCACCACACATTCAGCCGGTGCCACCCACAGATTAACAACACCTGTTGCTTCGGCCTCTGTGCAAACACACACTCATCCAGACAAACCAACAATGATAATGACGTCCAGGAAAACCACACACACTCCCATCGCTGACACTCCCAGAGAGACTCTCACCACAAAAACGATATCCTCCTCCCCAGGGATGTCAACTGTCACGCTGGCCGGTACAGTCCTTACCTTGAAACCCAACACTGCTCCACCAATGGCCTCAGAAACCTTAACAATACCAAAAAGCACGCTTCCATCTTCCACAAACCCTACTACCAACCCCACTAGGTCCACCATGTCCACAACTGGCATCACCTCAGCTCCCACCACCTCAGGTACCATGGAAACTTCCAGAACAGTAACAGCAGCTTCAACAAGTAGAGGTTTCTCCACCACAACACCGACATCTAGCAGTCACTCAAGTGAGATCACAACAGGCTTGTTCTCTGTGGGGACAGGACTCATTTCAACCCAAACAGCAACCCAGAGCCGTTTCATTTCCTTGTCCCCCACCATCCAGAACACAGAAACACCACGGGCCAGAACCATCCTGATCGCCACTCCCAGCGTGACCACTAATCTCATGAGTCCTGGAAGCTCCCCAACAGGTTCCCTGGCCACAGGGACTCCAGCCACACCTGCCCCCTCCCCATCCTTGGCAGCCAGCACCTCTCCTGCCATGACCAGCAACGTGGTCATGTCCCCCACAAGTACAATCCAGTCTTCTGCCCAATTCCCAGGCACACACCCAGTCACTGCTGCCACCACGCACACCATCCCATCATCTCCCTTGGTCACCACACTCCCAACCACCACTGCCACGTGGACATCAGAGATATCCTCAGCCAGTTCTCCCTCTAGTGGTGTCACACATTCCACATCTGATGTCACCTCTCCTTCCACCATGACACACACACAGACCAGCAGTGCTGCTTCCCTCACTCCCACCTGGTTCTCTGTGTCCACCTCAGAAACCTCCAAGACTTATCTCACAATGAAGGTGACTGTGGCCACCATGACCACCTCTCATGGCACACACAGCATCACCACTTCCAATGTCTACCCCACTCATAGCACATCCCCAACTGCCATCTCCTCACTCCCTAGGACCTCAGAGAGCACAGAGGCCTCCACACCCAGACTCACACCTTCCTCCAGTCCAGGCCTCCCTACGGTCACAGTGACAACCAATGCCACCTCATCTACAGATAACACTGGTCCATTGACCACGATGACAGACATGACCTCCACCTCTACAGCTTCCAGCAATCCAGCAACCATCACCAAGACCCTTGGTTCGTCCCCCACTGTCCAGAGCACGCAGACAACACAACTGACTAGCACCACCCTGACCGCCACTCCCAGGGCCACCATGAGTCCTGGAAGCTCCCCAACAGGTTCCCTGGCCACAGGGACTCCAGCCACATCTGCATCCTCCCCATCCTTGGCAGCCAGCACCTCTCCTGCCATGACCAGCAACGAGATCACGTCCCCCACGAGTAGTACGATCCTGTCTTCTGCCCCTGTCCCAAGCACAGACTCAGTCACTACTGCTAACACGCATAACACCCTATTATCCACCTTGGTCACCACAGTACCTAAGACAGATGCCAGGTCTACAGGGACATCAGAGATGTCCTCAGCCAATTCTCCCTCTAGTAGTGTCACACATTCCGCATCTGTTGTCACCTCTCCTTCCACCATGACACTCACACAGACCAGTACTGCTTTGTTCACACCCACTTTGCCCTCTATGTCCACCTCAGACACCTCCAAGACTGCTCCCACTATGAAGGTGACTGTGGCCACCATGACCACCTCTCATGGCACACACAGCTTCACCACTTCCAACGTCTACCCCACACATAGCACATCCCCAACTGCCCTCTCCTCCCTTCCCAGCACCTCGGGTACCACAGAGACATCCACACCCAGACTCACACATTCCTCTAGTCTAGGCCTCCCTTCATTCACAGTGACAACCAATGCCACCTCATCTACGGACAACACTGGGCCGTTGACCACGATGACAGACATGACCTCCACCTACACAGCCTCCAGCAATCCAGCAACCCTCACCAACACCACTGGCTCGTCCCCCACTGTCCAGAACACCCAAAAAACACCACTGACTAGCATCATCTTGACCGCCACTCCCAGGGCGACCATGAGTCCTGGAAGCTCCCCAACAGGTTCCCTGGCCACAGGGACTCCAGCCACATCGGCAACCTCCCCATCCTTGGCAGCCAGCAGCGCCAGCACCACACACACTGGCAGTGTCTCCTCAGCTCCAACCACCCCCCATTCACTTCACACGACAGCCACATCCACCCCGACACCCCCCACTGACGCCACATTCACACCAACCTCATCTCCAGGACCACCTCCCACCACTGCACCAGTGACCAGAACAACTCAGGACCCCTTCACCACCCCCAGGGCCTCGTCCCCTGCAGAATCCACACTGGCTCCTACCACACACGTTCCCACAGGATCTCACATGACAGAAGTCACTGCTACTCCCCTGATCACTCCTTCAGTCCCCCCCACAAATACACTCACTGTGGCCACTTCCAACACTTCTCCTGCATTGACCAGCAACGAGATCATGTCCCCCACGAGTAGTATGATCCTGTCTCCTACCCCTGTCCCAAGCACAGACCCAGTCACTACTGCTACCACCCATAACATCTCATCATCTACCTTGGTCACCACAGTACCTACGACAGATGCCAGGTCTACAGGGACATCAGAGATGTTCTCAGCCAATTCTCCCTCTAGTGGTGTCACACATTCCACATCTGATGTCACCTCTCCTACCACTGTGACACTCACACAGACCAGTACTGCTTTGTTCACACCCACTTTGCCCTCTATGTCCACCTCAGACACCTCCAAGACTGCTCCCAATATGAAGGTGACTGTGGCCACCATGACCACCTCTCACGGCACACCTAGCTTCACTATTTCCAATGTCTACCCCACTCATAGCACATCCCCAACTGCCACCACCTCACCCCCTAGGACCTCAGATAGCACAGAGACATCCACATCCAGGCTGACAGACATGGCCTTCACCTCCACAGCCTCCAGTAATCCAGCAACCCTCACCAACACCATTGGCTCGTCTCCCACTGTCCAGAACACGGAGACAACACCACTGACTAGCACCACCTTAACCGCCACTCCCAGGGTCACCATGAGTCCTGGAAGCTCCCCAACAGGTTCCCTGGCCACAGGGACTCCAGCCACATCTGCATCCTCCCCATCCTTGGCAGCCAGCACCTCTCCTGCCATGACCAGCAACGAGATCACGTCCCCCACGAGTAGTACGATCCTGTCTTCTGCCCCTGTCCCAAGCACAGACTCAGTCACTACTGCTAACACGCATAACACCCTATTATCCACCTTGGTCACCACAGTACCTACGACAGATGCCAGGTCTACAGGGACATCAGAGATGTCCTCAGCCAATTCTCCCTCTAGTAGTGTCACACATTCCGCATCTGTTGTCACCTCTCCTTCCACCATGACACTCACACAGACCAGTACTGCTTTGTTCACACCCACTTTGCCCTCTATGTCCACCTCAGACACCTCCAAGACTGCTCCCACTATGAAGGTGACTGTGGCCACCATGACCACCTCTCATGGCACACATAGTTTCACCACTTCCAACGTCTACCCCACACATAGCACATCCCCAGCTGCCACCTCCACACCCCCTAGGACCTCAGAGAGCACAGAGATGTTCACACCCAGACTCACACCTTCCTCCAGTCCAGGCCTCCCTTCATTCACAGTGACAACCAATGCCACCTCATCTACAGACAACACTGGGCCGTTGACCACGATGACAGACATGACCTCCACCTACACAGCCTCCAGCAATCCAGCAACCCTCACCAACACCATTGGCTCGTCCCCCACTGTCCAGAGCATGGAGACAACACCACTGACTAGCACCACCCTGACCGCCACTCCCAGGGCCACCATGAGTCCTGGAGGCTCCCCAACAGGTTCCCTGGCCACAGGGACTCCAGCCACATCTGCAACCTCCCCATCCTTGGCAGCCAGCACCTCTCCTGCCATGACCAGCAACGTGTTCATGTCCCCCACAAGTACGATCCTGTCTCCTACCTCTGTCCCAAGCACAGACCCTGTCACTACTACTACCACCCTTAACACCACATTATTGACCTTGCTCACCACAGTATCTATGACAGAAGCCATGTCTACAGGGACATCAGAGATGTCCTCAGCCAGTTCTCCCTCTAGTGGTGTCACACATTCCACATCTGTTGTCACCTCTCCTTCCACCATGACACACACACAGACCAGTGCTGCTTCCCTCACTCCCACCTGGGCCTCTGTGTCCACCTTAGACACCTCCAAGACTGCTCCCTCAATGCAGGTGACTGTGGCCACCATGACCACCTCTCATGGCACACACAGCTTCACCACTTCCAACGTCTACCCCACACATAGCACATCCCCAACTGCCCTCTCCTCCCCACCCAGCACCTTGGGTACCACAGAGACATCCACACCCAGACTCACACATTCCTCTAGTCTAGGCCTCCCTTCATTCACAGTGACAACCAATGCCACCTCATCTACGGACAACACTGGGCCGTTGACCACGATGACAGACATGACCTCCACCTACACAGCCTCCAGCAATCCAGCAACCCTCACCAACACCACTGGCTCGTCCCTCACTGTCCAGAACACCCAAAAAACACCACTGACTAGCATCATCTTGACCGCCACTCCTAGGGTGACCATGAGTCCTGGAAGCTCCCCAACAGGTTCCCTGGCCACAGGGACTCCAGCCACATCGGCAACCTCCCCATCCTTGGCAGCCAGCAGCGCCAGCACCACACACACTGGCAGTGTCTCCTCAGCTCCAACCACCCCCCATTCACTTCACACGACAGCCACATCCACCCCGACACCCCCCACTGACGCCACATTCACACCAACCTCATCTCCAGGACCACCTCCCACCATTGCACCAGTGACCAGAACAACTCAGGACCACTTCACCACCCCCAGGGCCTCGTCCCCTGCAGAATCCACACTGGCTCCTACCACACACGTTCCCACAGGATCTCACATGACAGAAGTCACTGCTACTCCCCTGATCACTCCTTCAGTCCCCCTCACACATACACTCACTGTGGCCACTTCCAACACTTCTCCTGCATTGACCAGCAACGAGATCATGTCCCCCACCAGTAGTACAATCCTGTCTTCTACCCCTGTCCCAAGCACAGACACAATCACTACTGCTACCACCCATAACACCCAATTATCCACCTTGATCACCACAGTAACTACGACAGATGCCATACCTACGGGATCATCAGAGTTGTCCTCAGCTAGTTCTCTCTCTAGTGGTGTCACACATTCCACATCTGATGTCACCTCTCCTTCCACCATGACACACACACAGACCAGTACCCCTTCTCTCACTCCCACCTGGCCCTCTGTGTCCACCTCAGAAACCTCCAAGACTGTTCCCACAATGCAAGTGACTGTGGCCACTATGACCACCTCTCATGGCACACACAGTGTCACCACTTCCAACATCTACCCAACTCATAGTACATCCCCAACTGCCAACTCCTCACCCCCTAGGACCTCAGATAGCACAGAGACATCCACACCCAGGCTCACACCTTCCTCCAGTCCAGGCCTCCCTACGGTCACAGTGACAACCAATGCCACCTCATCTACGTTGACCACGACGATAGAGATGACCTCCATCTCTACAGCTTCCAGCAATCCAGCAACCCTCACCAACACCATTGGCTCGTCCCCCACTGTCCAGAACACGGAGACAACACCACTGACTAGCACCACCCTGACCGCCACTCCCAGGGCCACCATGAGTCCTGGAAGCTCCCCAACAGGTTCCCTGGCCACAGGGACTCCAGCCACATCTGCATCCTCCCCATCCTTGGCAGCCAGCACCTCTCCTGCCATGACCAGCCACGAGATCACGTCCCCCACGAGTAGTACGATCCTGTCTTCTGCCCCTGTCCCAAGCACAGACTCAGTCACTACTGCTAACACGCATAACACCCTATTATCCACCTTGGTCACCACAGTACCTACGACAGATGCCAGGTCTACAGGGACATCAGAGATGTCCTCAGCCAGTTCTCCCTCTAGTAGTGTCACACATTCCGCATCTGTTGTCACCTCTCCTTCCACCATGACACTCACACAGACCAGTACTGCTTTGTTCACACCCACTTTGCCCTCTATGTCCACCTCAGACACCTCCAAGACTGCTCCCACTATGAAGGTGACTGTGGCCACCATGACCACCTCTCATGGCACACACAGCTTCACCACTTCCAACGTCTACCCCACACATAGCACATCCCCAACTGCCACCTCCACACCCCCTAGGACCTCAGAGAGCACAGAGATGTCCACACCCAGACTCACACCTTCCTCCAGTCCAGGCCTCCCTTCAGTCACACTAACAACCAATGCCACCTCATCTACAGACAACACTGGGCCGTTGACCACGATGACAGACATGACCTCCACCTACACAGCCTCCAGCAATCCAGCAACCCTCACCAACACCATTGGCTCGTCCCCTATTGTCCAGAACACCCGTACAACACCACTGACTAGCACCACCCTGACCACTACTCCCAGGGCCACCATGAGTCCTGGAAGCTCCCCAACAGGTTCCCTGGCCACAGGGACTCCAGCCACATCTGCAACCTCCCCATCCTTGGCAGCCAGCACCTCTCCTGCCATGACCAGCAACATGTTCATGTCCCCCACAAGTACGATCCTGTCTCCTACCTCTGTCCCAAGCACAGACCCTGTCACTACTACTACCACCCTTAACACCACATTATTGACCTTGCTCACCACAGTATCTATGACAGAAGCCATGTCTACAGGGACATCAGAGATGTCCTCAGCCAGTTCTCCCTCTAGTGGTGTCACACATTCCACATCTGTTGTCACCTCTCCTTCCACCATGACACACACACAGACCAGTGCTGCTTCCCTCACTCCCACCTGGGCCTCTGTGTCCACCTTAGACATCTCCAAGACTGCTCCCTCAACGGAGGTGCCTGTGGCTACCATGACCACCTCTGATGGCACACACAGCTTCACCACTTCAAGTGGTTACCCCGCTCATAGCATATCCACAGCTGCCATCTCCTCACCTCCTAGGACCTCAGAGAGCACAGGGACATCCACTTCTACCCCCTGGTCTTCTTTTCATCCAGGCATGCCCTCCAACACTCCTGCATCCAACACGCCCCCTTCTATCAGTCCCTCAACTGTGGGTGACACCAGTCCACTGAGCACAGTGACAGGCAACTTCTCCCCCCGCACTGATTCCGGTGTGTCCACAACCCACACTAGGACCATCGCCTGGTCTCCCACTGTCCAGGACATGGACTCCACACCACTCGTTAGTACAATCCACATCACCCCCAGTATGCAAACTACCCTGGCAAGTTCTGAGAGCACCTGGGGAAGTTCTCTTGATACAGGTATTCAGGTGACATCTGACACCTCACTGCCAATGTCCTCCTCTGCTATATTTACCTCTGATGGAGGGTCCTCCTTTTTTCCTGTACATAGTACTTTTTCTCCTGTAAGTACAGATTCTTCCCTCTCTTCTCTTCCTACCTTCACTCTATCACCACACCCGAGTACTCTCATGTCAACGTCACATGTCTCTATGACACATAATGACTTGTCCACTCTTAAAACCTCTGTCTCCACCCCTCCAGTGGTAACCTCACTCACTACCTCCCGTGAGTCCAGCACAGAAGACTTCACTAGGGAGAGCACTTCCACCAATGCAATAATGACGTCCTTTGGGACCTTGATCTCTTCTACACCCACAGTAAGACTGTCCTCTCCTCTCTCTTCTCCCACCAGCAGTTCCATGCTCCCCACTACCACCAACACTGGCCCCACCTCCCCACCTATCTCCAATACAGAACAAGTCGGCTCTTCCACCACCACCTCTTCTCTGTCCTCTTTTGCAACTACCAGAACTTCTCCAACCATTTCCTCGCTGACCACAACTCTCACAGAAATAACCCCCTTTTCTTTTATTTCTCTTCCTTCCTCCACACCCTGCCCAGAAACTATCACCATTACAATAGTCCCCACCTCTCCCACTCTTCCATGTATAGAAATTGATCCCACCACTGATGTTACCTCTTCTCCCACCACGCCATTCTGGGTCCTTCCCTCTTCTACTGAAATGGTTACCCTTCCCAGTTCTACCAGTATAAGAACCATGTTTCCAACACAACCGGATGCTTCTACTTCCATGACTCCAGAATCTGAGCCCACCAACATTACAACTGATGCTCCTAGTTCTTCCGGCCCTACAACTGTACCCATGAGCACAGATTTAATGAGCACCCAAATGCCCTCCAGTGAGACCCCACCTAGCTCCGACTCTGTCACCACCCCACATATGCCTGGCTCCACTAATCTCCCACCGACCACAAAGCCAAACAGTAGCCCTCCAACGGTCACGACTTCCAGCAAGTTGACACATCCCACTCCACCCACCACCAGAAGCCCAGAGACACCAGTGGCCACCATAAAGACTCCCACCACCCTGACGTCCCCAGGAACAACACTGACCACTACTCAGATGACTACAGTGTCAAGAACAACCCCAGGTTGGACCTTCTCTCTTCCTCCTCTCTTTCCTTCCTCCTCCTGCCAAATTCCTATGTCCCCAAGAGCAGGTCCTTTTGGAACTTCAACTTTTCTCTGGGCTTTCCAGGTAACTGTGACAATGGTGGCACCTGGGAACAGGGCCAGTGCTCTTGTCGCCCCGGCTTCTCTGGGGATCGCTGTCAGCACAAGGATATCGGGTGCCAGAATGGGGGTAAATGGGACGGCCTTAAGTGCCTCTGCCCCACCACCTTTTATGGCCCTCTCTGTGAGTTTCCGGCGGAACAGTTGGAGCTAGGTGAGTTGCTAAAGCTGCATGCTCTCCGCTTCCTCCTGCGGGTGCCTCTGGGGGACCTGAGCTAGCCATGTACCATCTTTCCAGTCCTCCCGTCCTTGGCTTCTCTCCCATGCCCTGTGCTGTCTCATGCCATGTCCTACTCCCTTACCAACCCCTCCTGGTTGGAGCTGCTTGGTGCTGTCTTCTTTCCTATATAACAAATGACCCTAAAACTATCAGCTGAAACAACACAAGTGATCATTTCACACTTCTGTGAATTAGATGTCAGATGTGGTTCTGACTGGTGTCACCAGGGCTGTGTTTTTCTCCAGCGGATCTGGGGAAGAATCCAATTCCTTGCTACTTTTGGTGTCTAGAGCTTCCTACATTCCTCGTGTCAAGGTCCCCCCGGCAAAACCACCTGGGTCCTCTGTGTCTTTCTTCCATAGTTGTCTTCCTCTGATTGATTCTGACCTCCTCTGACTCCTTCTTCCACTGTTAATGACCCTTGTGATCATATGGGACCCACCTGATTGGGCCAGGTTAATTTTCCCATATGGAGGTGAACTGATAAACAGTGGAATTTTATCTTCATTTTTAACACGGATTATCTGTAATCTAATGGGGTGCAGTGGCTCACGTCTGCAATCCCAGGTACTTGAGGGTCTGAAACAGGAGGCTTGCAAGTTCAAGACCAGGCTGGGCAATTTAGCAAGTCCCTGTCTCAAAATCAAAAATAAAAAGGGCTGGGGGTGTGGCTCAGTGTCCCAAGTTCACTCCCCAATATCATACACAAAAATGATCTGTAATTTTTTTTTTTTTAGTATCAGGGATTGAACCCAGGGGCACTTAAGTACTGAGCCACATCCTCAGCCCTTTTTAATATTTTATTTAGAGACAGAGTCTCACTGAGTTGCTTAGGACCTTGCTAAGTTGCTGAGGCTGGCTTTTAACTCGAGATCCTCCTGCCTCAGCCTCCCAAGCTATTGGTGTGCACCACTGTGTCCATCTGTAATTTAATTTTATACTATGGCCTTTTCTGGGGACCAGGGCAGGACAACTTTGGGGGTCATTACTCTGCCTACCCCAGGAGGGACTGCAGTCTGGCTGCCGTGCTTCTGGACCACTTTCCCTTACCTCCAGACAACTTGTCCCAGAATTTCTTCTTTTCTCCCTACTGCCATTCAGTCAGTCCTCAGAGACGAGGAAGCAGGCAGAGCTGGGAGCCTGGGGGTGGGGGTGTGGATGGTGGGTGGTGATGACAGATGGGGTAGTGACCAGAGCGGAGTGTGCTGTATGCAGGCACAGTGGAAGCCGAAGTGGGCATGGAGGTGTCTGTTGACCAGGAATTTTCTCCGGACCTCAATGATAACACTTCCAAGGCCTACAGAGATTTCAATAAGACCTTCCAGGATCAGGTGAGGGGCAAAGGGAGGGGAAGTAAAGGGTCCTCCTCTGCAGTGGGCGCCCTCAGGTCCACAGGTTCAGACGTGAGCCCAGGGATTCTTGACATTTCAGATGATGAAGATTTACAAAGGCGTGCAGGGGTTCAGGGCTGTGAAAATCCTCTCCTTGAGGTAGGAGACCCTGCTGGGGATGTGGAAGCAGCCTTAGGAGGGGACAGGGGCATGAAGAAGGGCTGGGGCATCTATCCCTTGCTTCTTGAAGCATTTGCTTTCATAAAGAGAGGGGTGGAGGAAGTATACAGGGACAGGCAGGGAAGTGTCAGGACTGTTGTCTTGTCCTCTGCCTGGCACTGGCTCTGCTTGAGTCAGTCAGCATGAGAGAGACGGATGGGGAAGACAGAGAGCCCCGGAGAAACAGCTTTGGTGGTTTGGTGACAGCTTGATGTCATGCAAAGAAAACTCCCATTATCAGGGATGCTGGCAGCCCCTTTTGAAAAGCATGTGTGGGTAAAAGAAAAGCATGGATGGCTTTTCACCTCAGGACCTCTAACCCTTTTGCATGCACTGTGGTTGGTTCTGGAGGAGCCCCTCCCAGGACCTGTGTGCCCCAAGCCTGGGCACCCTCTAAGGTTCCTGGCCCCCTCAGGAGTGGCAGCATTGTGGTGGATTATCTGGTCCTACTGGAGCTGTCCTTCAGCCTGCAGTTGGAGAGCCAGTATGAGAAGGTGAAGACTGTCCTGAAGGAGAAGCTCCAAAGTGTCATTCAGGATGGGGACAGCTGCCAGCATAACCAGAGTGAGCGGAGGCTGGAGGGAGGGGTCAGAGCGGTCATCCCAGCTTGCTCCAGCTCAGTCCAGGGGGCTCTTAGGGTTCAGGGGCCATCCCGTGGTTCCTCTGGCAGGGGTACAAGTCTACACCCAACTGGGACAAGGGTGGGCTCAGGAGGGCTCAGGACTGGGGTGCTAGGAAGAGACCCCCTGGTAGGTATGCTCAGTGCTTCTAGGATGGTTGGGTGTCTGATTATTCAGGGGGGAGGAGGGAGGCAGCAGCAGCCTTCCCTAGGTGCCCCTCCACATCTGGGGAGTATGGAGAGAGCCCTCTCAGCCCTCCCCATCCCTGCCAGCCCCATTTCATCTGAACCTGTTTCCCCAGCCCTGTGCTTTAAGCCTAACTCCGTCAAAGTGAATGAGGACATCAGGACAGAGCTGACCCCGAAAGGTGAGGAGGGGGCAAAGGGCTGAGCGGCTTCAGGCGGCCATGATCCTTCCCACAAGGGACACTTGTCCATTGAAGTTCCCCTGGGGGAGCAGGGGGAGAACTTTTGGGGAGGCAAGAGATGAGGACCCGTCCTGCCCTTCTGGGCTCCAGTCAGTAGCTTACACCTGAGCTCCCGCAAGGCAAGGTGAGAAGGTGGGGAGCGGGAGGCTGCCTTTCCCGCTTCTAATCCCAACACCCGCGCTCCGAAGAGTCCTCCCCATGCGTTTCGGTCCCCACAACCAGGCCCTGAGAGGAATGAATGAGACCCTGGTCTCTACACCCCGCCCCCTCCCACAGCCATCTGTAGCAGAGCGGCTGCCAAGGGCTATGAGGAATTCTACTTCCCCCTGGTGGAGCAGAACCGGCTCCGTTGCGTCACCAACTGTACGCCCGGCGTGGACGGTGCCATCGACTGTGGACAGGGCCAATGTCTTCTGGAGAGGAGCGGTCCCGTGTGCAGGTGAGGCCCTGCCCTCGCTGGAAGCCCCGCCCCTCGTTCAGGGACACGCCCTCCAGGCCCGCGCCCCGCCCCAGGCCCTGCCCACTCGCCTTAGGGTGGAGCCCCGCCCCTGAGGCCCCGCTTGTGACCTGTGTTGAGATCTGTGACCTTTCCCCAGATGTTTCTCCACTGACACTCATTGGTTCTCGGGGTCGCGCTGCGAGATGGCCATCCACTGGAGGGCGCTGGTCGGGGGCCTGGCGGGGGGCGCCGGGGTGCTGCTGCTGCTGCTGGGGCTGCTGAGCGTCTGGTTGGTGCGCTCCCGGGGAAAGGACCGCCAGCTCCGAGGACAGTGAGTGCTCTAGGGCCGCGGTGGGGGTGGCCAGAGGGGCCCAGGGACCCCGGCTTGCCTGACCGCTTGGCGCCCTCACCTAGGTCCTGGGACGAGGACAGGCAATGGTTTGAGATCTGGGATGAAGACACCGTGGGGACTTTTTCCAACATTGGCTTCGAGGACGACAGAATAGGTGAGTCTTTCTTGAGAAGATGGTAGGATTTCCCTGGGCATCACTGTGGCCTGGGCAGGATGGGACAGTTTTGTATGTCGTGCCAGGGAGTTTGTGTCACCCCTCCTGAGAAAGATCCTGTTCCTGCGCAGGCCATCCCCAGGCAGAGCAGCCAGCCACTTGGGGTCCTGCCTTTGGACATGGAGTTTCCTCCACGTCCAGTCTCACTCCTTTTCTCTCCCCTCTCCTCCTCTCTTTTCTCTCCCTAGTCAACGATGAAAGCTTCCACGTGGCCTTGGATAATGTGGACACCAGCACGAAGGTGAGGGGGCAGAGGGAGGACGCTAAGGACCTCTCCCAGCTCCAGTGCCAGATTTCCCCCAGCCACTGGCCATCTGGCCAGCCCACGCAGGTGGTCCCCTCTTCTCAATCCCTCTCACCCTATACTCTGTGGCAGGTACACATTCAGAGACCTGAGATGGCCTCATCCTCGCTCTGAGCCCCATGGGGCCTCTTCACCACCCCCTCCACCCTGCCCAGGACTGCAGGAGGGAACCATCTACACTGCGTCCATTTCCAGAGGTGGCCTCAGGCGCCTGGTGTCCTTGGGGCAAATTGAGACTGTTCCCTTTATCCCCATCCTCCCAACTGGGCTGAAATCCACCTGGAGACCCTGTTCACATCCAGGCTCTTCTGCTGTGGGACCTTGAGCGACTCAGTGTTTTCTCTCACCTCAGTTTTCTCACCTATAAAGTGGATATAACACACTTGTCCTGATACCTCCTACTGTTACTGTGAAAACCACGTGTTTGGTCAGTTTTGTTCCAATCTATCCACCTGTGTCAACCCTCATGTTTAGGTCACTTCCCTCAGGTCCCCCTTCCCCAAGTTCTTCCCCTGGTCTCCAGCCTTGGTCCCTATTTTTCTGTTTGCACCCAATTACTATCCCAGATGATTCTGGTCCCTCACCCTGAACCCATAGGCAGCCCACCCGTCTCTTACTCTCCTAGATAACCGCTTCTGCGCCTCTTGTCTTTCCCTTACTGAGCCAGTTCCTTAAACCAGTCCCCTCCCCCAGCCCTATATCTCCCCCAGTTTTTGAATTCCCCTCTCCCACCCTGGTACTCTCAGCCCTGAATCCTTGCCTCCCCCATCCCAGCGCTCCCCCGAAATCCTACCTCCTCCCTACTTGCCTGTTCCTAGACAGAGACAGATACTCCTGGCTTCTGAGGGTCCCCCAACTGGCACTCTCCTAGCCTCACCATTCTGAGGCTCCACCCCTTCCTCTCACCCCAGGGCACCTGGATCCCTGTGGGCAGGGGTGGAGCCTGAGTTTCCAGAGCTCCCAAGGATGGGGGGAAGTGAGGCCCCCTCCTCCTTGTTTCCCTGACCCGCCTCCTCCCCTCTCCCCTCAGCCTCACGGCCTCCTTCCCATGGCTCCTGCTTCTTCTTCTTCCCCTCTCTCCTTCGGATTACCCCATCCCTGCAGCGATCTCTGAGCCTGAAGCCCTCGGACCTCCTTTGCCAGGAAGATCAAGTTTGGGGATGGGGAGTTGTGGAATCTCCAGTTCCCCAAGTGAACACAATATAGCATTTATTATCAAAGAAACTGTTCGGTATTCGGTGTCTTTCTCCCCTGCAGCCTCATCTTGTCCCCAGCAGTGTCTACCTGGTTGGAGAACAGGGACTTCCTAATGAGGTGTAGGAGGGTCAGGGAAGCATCCATCCCTGTCTCCCAGGGTGAAAGGAAGATCTGTGGGCAGCCCTCAGGGCCATGACTACCTCAAGCTTGGTGGGGGGACCCATTTTGTTAGCTATTGGTTGGGTGGCAGGGAGTCTCTCCATTAGCAGCAGGTGAGGGTCTCTTGGATTTTGTCACCTGTGACCTCAAAGCTTAGGGCTGGGGTTTGGAAGGAGTTAGACCCTAGGACTGGGGCAGGGAGGTGTCCAGTTTGGGCTTGCTGCCTTTTCTGCAGAAATATAAAGTTGGGCCCCCAAAGACCTTGAGCATCCCAGATCCCTTCTTGCAAACATGTCCTCCCACCAGGGCCTGTCTGTGCTGGCTCAGACCCTCCTGTTGCCACCATTATGGGCTCTTGGTCCTGCTTGGCTGGAGCTGAGATGGTCAGAAATAATCTATCCCCGTAATCCTTTGGGTGGGGGTTTGGGAGAGGCCCCCATGGACCTTTGCCCTAGGCAGAAGCTGGCCCATGGCCTTTCGTCACCTCTGATTCTGGCCAGGGGTGGAGTCAGGCCATAAAGCCTCAGGTGTGAATGGGCGCCCCACCTGATGGGAAAGCACTGGGAATTCTGAAGGGGCAGCTGGAGGTGGGTGGTGGGGAGAGAAGGCCTAGAGCAAGGGGGTGCTCCTTGGGCAAGATTCTCCTTCACCTGTCCTGCGGGGTGTCCCTCCTGGGACACCCCTCCCTCCTCAGTCACCCCTCCCTGGCATTTCTTGGTCCCGCCCCTCTGTCATTGTCTCAGGCTCACACCCCTGCCTTCCTCCTGTCCCTCCCTCTTGACTTGTCCCACCCTGTAACACTGTCTTCCTCTGGCTGGAGTGACCCTGACTCAGGGGAGTCAGTGCGTCAGGAGTTAGAGGGGAGGAAGGTTGAGAGGCTGCCCTTTAGCCAACTCCCTGTAGTCACTGTGTGTCACCCACCCCGTGTCATCACCTTGCCCCCACCCTGGGTCAGGCGCTGTCCTTCCCCAAGGCAAAGGTCTCCAGGGTCCTTTTTATAGCTGCTCCCTCCTTGGGAGGCTCTCATTTCTTGGCCCCTCTCCTGAGAGGGAAGATCCTGGAGCCAGGGGCGCACAGCCCGGGAGATGCTGGTGACCTGGGTCCTGCTGCTGGCTCTCCAGCTCTTGACGCCCATCAGCACTTCATTTTCAACAACAGCAGTAACAGCAGGTGAGTGAGACCCAGCCTGGTGCTCCCCGGCTTCCGGCAGAGCCACAGGTGGTTGGCTTCCCTCTGTCCTTCCACCTTGTGTCCTCATCCTGCCTCTGGGGTGCTAAAGAGGCCCTGCAGAGGCTGTAGGTGCAGAGGAGGGGGTGCGTCCTGTGGTCCTGGAGCTGATGGCTAAGGCAGCCCCAGTTGGGGTGTGGCTGGGAGCCGTCCCTGCTGCTCTCCGGCCTTCCCCAAAGGATGGGGCTCTTTCTTCACATCCACGGTGCTCTCTGCCCTCAGCCTCGGGGCTGCCCTGCCTGGAAACCTGGGTGTTTCCAAGCCTCCCAGAGGCACCTCAGAAGCTCCTGGCCCTGGCAGGGAGGGAAGGTGTTGGGACGCATCTGGCAACTTCCTCACTTGACTTGAGAGGAGCTGCAGGTACAGGTGGAAATGACCATTAGAGATGGTGGGTGGGCTGTTAGAAGTGGTTAGAGGCTGGCTTTGGAGGGTCCTTGTTGATCCCGGCCACAGCCATGTCTGGGAAGTGACTGGTTATAAGCTGGTTTTGCTTGTTCAAGATATACTTTCTGATTCCCTCAAGGGAGGGCAGAGCTCTCATGGAATTGGGAAGCTGAGAGGAGGAGAAGTGAGGTCCCAGGTGGAAGAGGGGGGCCTGAGTGAAGGCCAGGGAGTGGGCTACGGAATGTGGGGTGGGGTATATAGAGCCCTGCGGGGCGGCCATCAGGAAGTCCCAAGGCCTTAGGGGCCTCCTCAGGCTAACAAGCCCTGACAGACCTCCCCCTCCCCATAAGCCGAGGAGAGAGGAGCAAGGACCTGGTGGTCCTTGGAGACTTAAGGACATTATGAGAGAACATTAATACCAGGTCCATTCACTTTCAGTTAACATACCAAGAGGAGGAAGCTGCAAGCGGGAGTCTCTCTTAGGAAGGGTCCTCCTGTCCCTCCCCAGGCCTGGCCCAGCGTGGTACAGGACATCCCTCTGGCCAGGTTATCTGAGGGGCGGGAGGAGGTGATGTGTGGGTGGATGATGAGGGGCCCAACCAGGCTCTTACCCAGCTATGCATGGGAAACCCCAACCCACCAAAGCCCATGTCCCCCCAGTGCTTAAAACTGGGTTGAAACGATGACATGAGTGAATCCATGGGTGTGCAAAGAGCCAGGAGAACATCTGTCTACAGCAAGTGCCAAGGGCCGTCTGGAGGGTGAGGCCAGGCACGGGGGCTGCTGAGGGGGATTCAGGGGCCTATCCATACCCAGGGGCCCCCCCTCGCAGAGGGCACTGCTCTCTTCAGAACCACTTCCCAGGGGGCAGCTCCTGGGATGATTCTCACATGGATGTGGAGGGAAGTCAGGACAAGGAGGAGACAGGCCCAGAGAGGGTGAGTGACTTACTGGGGGCCACACACACTGGGTTTGTGCCAGTGGGTCCTCTGCACCCTGCTCCCTCCCCCTAGGCATGTGTTCTGGGTCCTCAGGGAGCAGCTCAGATGTCAGGCCAGGGACCGCTGTGGGAGTGGGGGGGTCGGTAGTTTTCTTTCCTTTCTACTTTGTCCCCCCTTCTGATTACTCTCTGTGAGAACTGATGAGGTTTTGGATAAGCAGACAGTTGGGGGGAAGAAGACCTCAGTGAGACACTGGGGAAATCATTTCGGTGGCTGTGGGGGGACCAAGGCCTAGGGAGGCCCGGGGAGGTGAGGAGGGGGCGTGTGCCAGGCAGAGCGAGTGTTCAGTGGGGGCGAGCGCTGTGGTGTTGGGTCATCTGTGGGTGGTGGGAACAGAAGAGCCAGGCTGAGGCTTTAGACACCAGAGGAACCCGTGTGGGCTGAGCCAGGCTGGGGACGTCCCTGCCATGGGGCAGACAGGCATCAGAGGCCTGTGGAGAGGCATAGAGAGGAGCCACCTGGAAGGAAGAGGAGAGCCTCCACCCAGTCTCCAGGGAATGGAGGCTTCGCTGGTAGAGGGCTGTGGGGGCACCCAGATGGATGGTTCTGTTGACTGGGAGGGCAGGAGCCTCTTGATGGTGGATAATAAGTGTCTAAAGTTGAGCCTGTTGGGTTTGGGATGAGCATGGGGTTTCTGGTGAAGCTGTCCTAGGGCCTCTGGGGAGGGGGACACAGCCTGGAATTCTCCATTCTCCATCAGAGAATTCCAGAAAGTCCCAGGGATAAACATGAGGGTCACAACCCACAGCCTGTTTTGTGGGTGCGAAGTTCAAAGTGTTTGTAGTAAGGTGTGGGGGGAGGGGAGCTCCTTGGGTGACATGGAGCAGGGGAGAGTGTCGGTCCTGGAGGGGCTGGGGCAGGGGTCTGAAGGGACTAGACGGGTGGAGGTGGATGTAAAAATGTTCCCCATCTACAAAATCAGGAAGGACGTGCTGGAGGTGAGAATGGATTTGTCACAAGAGACAAGGGGCAACCTTTGAAACCCATGTAATGTGAATTCCGAGCCCCGAAAAGGAAGTGCTGCTTCCCAACCTGAGTCATAAACTTACTCATTCGGCAAACACCGGGAACCAAGGGCCAGCTCAGCCTGGGCAGGTGCTGTGGACAAAGCAATAGGAATAAAAAGTTTATAGTGGATTTAATAAGATGGGAACAGCGCAGTGAGCCACAGCCCCCTGTGGGAGGCCCAGGCTGGAATTGGGGTAGGGGTGCAGCCTGGGGTTCAGAGGCTGCTTTTGCTGGACCACCAGGCTCCAGGGAGAGGTGGCATTTGGGTCTGGGGAGTAGTACCGGAAGGATTTTTTTTTCGTACTACAGATTGAATCCAGGGTTCCTTTATCACTGAACTGCATCTCTAGCCCTTTTTATTTTATTTTTTAAATTTGGAGACAGAATCTTGCTAAGTCACTGAGGGTTTCACTAAGTTAATTGCCCAGGCTGGCCTCAAACTTGGGATCCTCCTGCCTCAGGCTCCCATTTGCTGGTGTGTGCTACCGCAGCTGGCAGGAAGGATTAATAGATGCTCAAAGGCTTTCGATAAATATAGAACTAACCAAGCCATACATAGCTATGGAGAGAACTGGAATACTGATGAGCAGATGCCCCAGGGAACAGCAAACAGGGGAAGCCATGCTGACCCTGGTTAATATTAATATTAAAACTTTCTGATGTTCAGTGAGGGTTTACTTTGTGCTAGGTACTGTTCTAAATATCTGCTATTTCATTTAACTTTTACAACGGTATTAGAAGAAGGGTCCCATTATCAATTCTGTTTTTGTTCATGGGGACTCTGAGGCACAGAGATCATCATTAATTTGCTCTCAGTTATCCATCCATGAAGTGAAGGAGCCAGGATTTGAACACAAGTCTTCTTGCTCCAGAGCCCACATTCCTTACAATTTGCTGGAACTGGGGATCTCTGTGAGTATGAGTTTCCTGTGGCTGCTACAACAAATGACCCCAAACTCAGTGGCTTAAAAAAAAAAACAAACAGGATTTTTTTATTCTCTTAAATTGTGGAGGCCGGAAATCTGAAATTGAGGTCTCTCTAGTGTCATATTCCCTCAAGGGCTCTTTGTCTTTTACAGTGTCTGGTGACTCCTTGGTGTTCCTTTGTTCATGGAAACGTCACTCCAATCTCTGCCTTCAGTCTTCTCCTGAAATCTCTCTCTAGCTCCACCTTGGCCAGGGTTCTGAAAAGGCAGGATGAATAAAAAGTTTATAGTAGATTTAATGAGATGGGAACGGTGT